GGACCAGGACTCAGCCAATGCAAAGCTTTATGCATAGAACCTTTTCTGCTTACTGGTTTCCTCCTTTAACGTGCCTCGTCCTCACTCAGTAGGCTTCAGTATATTAGATGGTGACTATAGAAGGATCACCTGGCTGATTATGGGGTACACTTCCAACCTTCAGTCGAAGTAGAGTTATATGGTCTTTTCTTAGTTGAATACTCTGGAATTAAGGATTGGAGTTTTATGGCAAGAAGCCCACACTTCTTGATAAAGCTCTTTTCAGTTAAGACCAGATAAACATATTTGGTCAAGATAGTGTCATTGCTGTGCCATGGGGTTGATGAAATGGTGTTGGTGACAATGAGAGAGAGACTTAGAAAGAAAACCTTCAAGGGGAAGGGAAAATTGTTCATCGGCAGAAGAGGGAATTTGGGGAAGGGAAAACTGTTCATCGGCAGGAGAGGGAATTTGGGAAGAGAAAAAGGGAAGGGAAGAAAAAGGTAAATTGCTCTCATGTTTGTAATTATCAGACGTACACAGGGCCTCGCAAGAAAAGGTTGGCGCCCCAAACCTTCCTAATCCTTGTCTCAGACTGCTGTCATGCGTAGGAGTTGGTCTGCTCACGCTTCCCTAAACATGAGTGCTTCTTCTAGGTGTACTGCCAGACAGATAGAAGAGCCTCGTATGGTGTCAGCACATCTCAGACTCACCCTGCTGCAAGCTCTCACCTTTGGCAGAAGAAGCTTCTTTTCAATTTATAAAATATACTAAATTAATTTTTCTTTAATATTTTTGCTATTACTTTATCTATATAATATTCATTAGCTATAAATATTGTTTTTTTTTTTTAAGTAGGTAAATATTATTTCTTTATTATCGTAAAAATTTTAAAATAATTTTACACTGTAAAAGTGATAACATCTCTTATATGACCAATTAATCAGTAAGTCTAATGCTAGCTTGTCTACAGAAACTATCTAAGTGACATGGAAAATAAATATTAAAACCAATGTACATCCTAAATAGTGCCAAGCAGCTATGAATACCTACTCAGGTTTATATGTGAGACTATAAGAAATTGAAAAATGAAAAAAGAAAATACTAAACAAAAAAATAAGTACAGCAACACTAGTTGCGAAGCTATAGATGTTTTGGATAAAGTGTGCCATGCTGATAGTTCCATTTAACTGAAGTACTGTTGCACTTTAAGAAATGGCCAAGCTACTGTCCAAAGTATACAATAGTGTTGATGGTATATTTTTTTGATAGATGGTTGGTTGTAGTGATAGTATTGTTGTTATAATGATATGATTTGTGATTGGTTTGTTTGTTGGTGATGTAATTTTGTTTTGATTGTTGTCACCATAAAAGATTTTGTTTACGTCAATCAGTGTATAGTGTTTTGGTTGTACGGATTTGTTTAGAAAATTGATAGTGTTTGATTGGTTGAGTTTGGAATGTTGATCAATTAATAGAAGTAAACTGATTGCAGTTTTTTAGTGAAAAATTTTTTGAGTAAGATTTTTGGATTTTTGATAGCACAGCAAAATATGCTGGGCGATGGTGGGAAGTAAGTATTGAATATATTGTTAGTGCTCCAAGTCAACAATATAAACAATTTTGATGTGAAGTTTGATTTTTTGTGATAAAAAGAAGTCCTCAAAACAGAAAGTATAATTATTTAAAAAAATTTGTATATTATTAAGAAAAGAGAATGGGAAGAACCCTAAGGAAGATTTATAAAAAAGTAACTGCTACGGGTCTTTCCTCATGTAATCCAAAGAAGAAGCAAGATCCTCAAACTTGCTTTTTTCTGGCCAGAGGTTCTATCTCGATGCACCAGTATACTTTTTTAATTTCCTTGAGGCTCTTGTAGTAAAGAAAGAAAAAGTGTAAAGGACTTTTGAATATTGAAAGGCGAAAAAAATATTTGTTTCTTTAATTTTGGAGAAAAATTACTATAAAAGGAAATTTTTAAGAAAAAATTTATGTACAATAATAAGAAAATATTTTGTTTAATATAAATAATTATTTTTATAATTTTTTATAATTTATTATCAAGATTTTTATTAATATAAATATTAAATATAAATTATATAATCAATAGTTAATATATTGATTAATATATTAATTTTATTAAAAATATTATAAGAATAAAAAAAATAATAATAAGAGTATTTTTTGTTTAGTATATTTTATTTTTTAAACTTTTTATAATTTATTATTATAATAATTATTATAGTAGTTGTTTTATTTATTGATATTAATATATTAATTAATTAAATTAAATCAGTTTTGTTTTTTTTGTTTAAATAAAATAATAAATTTTGATTAAATAATATTAAATATTAATTAGTTGAAAAAAAATAAATAGATTTGAGTTTTTGTAATTGAAAAAGATTATATAAAATTTTTTAAATAATATAATAAGTATTGTTAAAATAAAAAGAAATATTAAAATTATATTAAAACAAATATTAGATTTAACAACTTTATTAAGTATTGTTGGGGGTTATAACAGCGAGTCTGTCACTACGTTGCGATCGCTGATCATGTAACGTCGAAAGAGGCATGGAGATGTGGCACGAGGTAAATGAAAGTGTTAGATAATAGTCTGAGTTTTATAGTAAAAGGATGATATTTTATTGTTGCTTTTTCTCTAGTACATTTCTCTATTTATATACATATTAAGAAATCCACAAAATTCCAAAAATCTCTCAAGCCCCAATTAAACCCCAATTGGACAAGGATGACATATATTGAATCTATCTAATTTTTCGGTCCCTTTTACAGTATGTTTTTTGAAAAATATTTAATTTAATGATTATAATGATATTAATATAAATAGTTTTTATAATAATAATAAAGTATAAATTATAAAAGAACAAAAAAATAAAATATATTACTATAAGTTTTTTTTATATAACTAAATATAAATAAAACTTTTAAACTTGAATAGATTTTAATCAAATGTTTTATTTTATTGTATTAATTATTTTTAATGTTTTTAAATTTTTAAACAAAAGTTATTTGTAATAAAAAATATTTTTTTTAATTAAAATTATTATAAATAGAAATTTTTAAATAAAACAAATATAATCGAAAAAATTTTTTTTAATATTTTAATATTTTAAATAAACAAATATAATTAAAAGAAAGTTTTTTGAAGTTTATAATATACTATTCAATTATTTTTAATTTATATTATAAATTAATAAAAATATATATCTTTGTTTTTTAAAAAAACTTTCTTTTCTATATTTAAGCTATTTATTTATTTATTTTATTTTTTATTTTTTATAATTTATTCATATACAGTATATTTTTTTATATAAACTTTTTTATATATCTTTTTTTTTTTTCTTTTTTTTTTTTTCTTCTAACAAAATTAAATTTAAATTACATAAATAATATAATGGTTTTGATATTAAAGATTCAAGAACGATATATAAATCTATAAATAACTTATTGACAAATACTCTATTACTTGAAAATAGTTTAGCTTTAATATAATTTTTACTATATTATATTGTTTTATTGTTTTCGACATACAATTAATAATCATATCAATATGCAATTTGATTAAAGAAATAATAATTTTAAATAACATTGTATATTGAAATAATTTATTTTTATAAATTAATATAAAATATATCTTACATAACTGTTTTTATTCTCTGCAAACAGTAATTAACAAGACGTCATTAGCATATTTATTTTTTAAACTGTTGATTTTTTTTTTTTTTCAATATCTCATTATTACTATTGTTTAAACGCCATTTTTTGCCACACGTTCTAATTATAATATATCGTACGTTTGGTTCTTGGAAATAACTGGAAAGTACTGTGCTACTACTGTTTATCGTAATTATGACGTATATTTGAGTAACATTTAATTTGTTAATTTTACCTAATCTGTTTGGTAACTAATCAGTTATTTATTACGTCATTATTTTTCTTTATAAAAGAACCCGCGCCCTTCTTCAACTTCTCTTCAAAAAAAAACAATTGTAGTTTAAGTCTGAAATAAAATCAAATTAAAAACGAAAATTCAATCAAATTAAATTAAAACCAAATTCAAACCATAATAAATCATGTCAACTATTTTTGAACATAACGAGACAGCATACGGTCAAAATATCCGAGGGTTTGACGCGTTTGTTCCAGACGCTTTTGGTTCGAATCCAGGTACGGCAATTAAATTCATAATGTTTCATTAAATAAAAATCTCTTTCCTGGTTATTTCTTACGTTAATTGTACTCGATAGCACAAATGGAGCGATTCTATAACGAGATCTATGTATACGAACCAAATCCAAGAATTCCTATTTCACCGGCTGCTCTTGCTGGCGCCGCTGCATATAAGGTAAATTACAAAAAGAAAAAGAAAAAAAAATTATTTTTTTTTTTTAATATATGTACTTACGGGGGTTTTTTTAAATAAATAGGCTGTAAGACTACATGATTCCCAGTCAAATTTCTTCCTACACAAAAATCATACGTACGAAATTGGTAAAATTCGTGAAACCGCTGCTAACGAAGCGTTACATTTGCTTCAAATGTATCCAATACCAAACGTTGATCCACAAATTGTAGTGATATCAGCTGAAGCAGCTGCACATAGGTTATATGACCACGAGCATTTTTGAAGGATCAGAGTTTATTTTGTTTAGTAGTTTATATTCATATTTATTATTTATTATGCGGATTGTTTTTAACATTCGTTATGAAAATGTATAAGGAAACCTTACTGTGAATATCTTTATCTTTTTAATAATTTTCTTTTATTATAAAAATAAATTTAAACCAATATTAAAACTAAAAATATCAATTTAATTTTAAAATTCTAATTCATTGAAAGTCAACATTGTATAATAATAAATAGAAATATACAGTATATTTTAAAAATAAAACTGTTGATTATAAGAATTAAAAAAATAGTTTAATTTATATAGAAAACTAAGAGTCCAAGGACTTTTGCACCAGACTGTTCAACATCTAAAAATTATTTTTAACTTTTCAAGATATTAATGTTAAAGAAAAGACAAAAATATTATATGTTTCTTATTATACTGTATCTATAGGTTTATTGATTTTAACATAATTATCATATAATAATTATTTGTAATATATTAAATAAACATAAATAAATAAGTATGAATTATAAATATTTATTTGTTTATTGTTAAGCAACGATGACAAAATTGTACAAGTAGAAAAGGTTTAATTATAAGTTTTTAATACAATATAAAATAATGTTTCAAAAAACCAATTAATGTTTTCAGATTGGTAAAGGTACTTTGGTTAAGGTGAACGTATCCTTGGTCATAGGAACTCTACAGACGAAATTGTCATTAATATACTGCACGATGGTAATGCGTACATATAAAGAGTTTCATTTTTTTTAATGAAGCCATGTAAAGGGGGCTTTTAGGTCGCCAAATAAGACGATAAATGATGATGCTTTCGACATTCATAGGAATGGTCCGGGACGTCCAAATGCATTCTATGATGAACGCAATGCAGAAAGTTAACAAACCTATAAATTTATCGTCGGATCGATTAACATTTGATCTAATCGACGATAGAATTCTACGTAGGATGCTTGCTGGTTGTTTGCCGGAGATCAATTTCGAATAGTTGTCACCCTTGGCCAACAATGTCTTTGGTGCAGTAGTTTTATCAGTATGTTCAAATCCCTTGTTCGCCTTTCCCCTTAAACATCATCCCCTTGGATTCGAATTGCAGTTATTTTTAATGGCGACATGAAACACTTGGTCATGCAGTGAAATGACAGAAAAGAAAAATATAAATTTATTTATGATTGGGTAGAACCGCATACGTATAATTTGTGATTGGAACAAGATGTCATCTCTTTAAATAGGTAGTGTCTGCGAGGAGAGGAGCCCACGTACTGTACATCATCTCTGGTGTTATTGTGACAGGTAATCTTAGTTTATTTTATTTTCGAATATTCGTTCATTATTTTGTTTTCGACGAGTTTAGAACCGCGAAATAAAAATGAATTCGATCAGATGCATGTTTTACAGTTATTGTACCCTATCATGCCCTTTAGATAAGGTGATATGATTGGAGGCTTAACGATATTTGAATCATGTATTCTTTTTAAAACATGGACGTCAAACGAAAATTTCTCGCCAAAAGATGAAGTCCTCACTTTTGTACAATGCAAATAATCTGTTAACTTTGAATGAATACACAATGGTCGATAATGATCGATGGATTGGTGAATTCCATTTTTATTTCACGAGAAATGCCTATAAAAAACACGGATTTTTTTAACTGTGAGAGATTGTCCGTGCTCAGGCCAATCAAAGGAACGTCGTATATAATTGACAAATTCCCCTATAAATTTGGATAGGACTTCGCCATTTCTTCGATCATTCTATTTCTCACAGAAGAGTTCCGATCAAAACAATTTCATCCTAAAAATTTCAAATACACTTGATATCTAAAAAATTTTTTCCAATCCAAACTCTAAGAATAAAATGTCTTTTCAAACTCGCGCCCGCTCAGATTCCGGATATGGAGAATCCATTGAAATCCATCTCAACGTTCAATCTCGTGCGAAATCCCCATCGACCACCGAAGACGCACCTTTCTCAAACTACCTTGGTCTCGAGTCATCATCAACAGATCGGAGAGCGCGCAGAACAGATGTGGTGGATAACTATATTCCATTCTTTACGTCGTTTCCGCTCGAATACGTTTGTCCACCTAAAAACAATTCTCTCATGAACAAAAAATCATGCCACAGCGAGGGAGATTTTGAAGAAAAGGTTCTTATTTCCAACAAGGGCGACGGTAAGTGCAGATACGATGAAACTCCGATCCCAGGAAAATGTTTGATTTCGATCAATCGGAATATTCAAAATTTGCAAGAGGTAAATGTTTGTCTCGCGTTCTTCATCGTTTCTCCAGCGGTGAAGAAAGACATGCCAATTTTAAGTTTGATCTTTAGGCTATATTTAAAATGCGTATTTTACGCGAAAAATTAAATTCACGGAAATTGACTCGCCACGAGCTCAAAGATTCATTAGGAAGCCTACGTAGAAAATGTTATTCGTGAGTATACTTCAAAGAACCATTGTGGATTCTAATTGGACGATGAAATCCCTTCACCATGCGTGAACTCATTGAACCATTTTTTTTAGGATTAAAACAATTTTGACGACGCCCGTGTCACCTTCGAGCGACGAAAGGTGTTAGTTACAGCTAGTTAGTTTTTTCTAGACCGCCTAATTGTAAATAATGGTTTATTTATTCCTTCCGTCATTTTATCATTCATTCTCATTCTTCCCTTGATGTAAATAGTAGAGAATTATCATGAAGAACTTAAATTTACTTTTCGAATTCAACGAATTACAACACTTTCATAGCCAATTGTACATATAATTTAATAAAGATTTTGAAGGTCCACGCGAGACACCCGAGTAACTTCTGAATGGACATTACATGCAACCACCATTTTGCACGTACTGCACAAATACGTGTTATTAATTTGCAGATAATCCAATTATTGTTTACCTGTTCACTTGGTGTTCTATATGAAATCATCTATTATAATAATATAATTATAATAATAATATGTATTTATTATTTCATAGATGTGCAGGCGAATGTTATACGTACAGTATATACAGTAAATACCGTTCGCCACAGAATTTGGAGAATAGTGATGATTTATTATTTAATGATAATTATGCGAGTTGTTTAAAATTATGTTTCCTAGGAACAATTGTCTAATTTATATTGTTTGCTTACTGGCCCACGAACGCATTGTTTTAATTGTTTGTTAACTTTTTGCGATAGGAGACAAAAGATGAAAGTTATATGATAATGAATGAATATATATATACATGATTTATCTCGTCCCGTCCATAAATTCACTTGGGACATGGCACGTCAAACAACTGACACAATTTAATCCTCTCATATCGAAACGAATAATCCCTAAAGACACTCCTTCTTGAGGCTTCCGTGATGCAGGCGCCACAGAAATGCCTGTTCTTGCACCAATGACACTTTATCCAGAACTCGTCCCAATATTTATATTTTATGCCACACTCAGCACATGATAAGGTGCAAGGTTCACAGTTCGGATCCGAACATGATTGAAATTGAAATATTCCGTCGTTTGTGTCGTCACCTGTGATTTCTTTGCTAGTCACCGGAGCGGGAAGACAAATTGAAGGTGAATTATTTGACAAGGCAGCGGAAATAACAGACATTGATGACGAAATGGTTGAAATGGTGTTTATGCCTCCAGTATAATGACACTCGAATGCATCAGAATTTAACTCGTCATTTTTTTTCCGATGATCTTTCATTCGTTTCAAATCCTCCAAGATTTTCTTGATAAATAATGAATGCCGTTTACCGCCAATGCACCTCGTCATTACGATCTTTTCCAATTTTCCCATTCTTATTTTATTGCCGAACGCACTATCTCCTTCATGTGAACCTTCATACTCATCATACCAATCAACAATGGCGTCAGTAATCGGTGGTATACTCACGTCCCTACATCCCAAAATGCACAAGTATTGAATATTTTCACAATCCCGAAGAACACTTATTACAGCATCTGAGGTAACTTTTGACCTGTCGAAGGTAAGTTGACGGATTAACCGTAGTTTTTGCGTCGACCGAAGATAAGAAAATAGGCTGTTAAATTGTCGTTGAGTGAATGATGATGGAAGAGACACACAAGAGAATAGGATCGTGTCGGAGAAAGCTAGGTAGATGGATCTGCACGTCAGACGAAGAAACAATGTGGAGAGAAAATCCAATTCTTCAATGATGATATATAGGATATCATTTGAAAGAGAGTTGAGGGAGTGTCTTGATGAAGTAAGATGACCCGGTAGTAATGGGTGAAGCATTTTCCGAAAGTACAAGAAAAGACGCACCGTAAAATATGCGCAAGTAGCGATAGTCAAAGAAAAGTATCAAACAAAAGGGGGTGAGTGTTTTTTTTTTGTTTTTTTTTCTTTTTATTGCTGTAATTTTGCAGTGAGAATCAAATAATTCGTTTATAAGATAATAATATTATTTCCCGTGTGGCTATTCATCTGGTGGTGCTATTTATATGTTCAGCGATGATACTATAATAGAATCTCCGATACGTACATGTATTTGGCCCTTGCAACCTGGAAAATTTCGGATGATCCAATAAGTTTACGACCGGGTGCGGAGATAAACAAACCTGCATGCATAAATGACTAACCAGTCCGTCACGAATCTTTTCTCATTTAGAGCAAAGAGATAACGGGTGCACGCATACCTCCATGGTTACATTTCTGGAACTAGAAACGCCACACCGTAAAGGCGGAGAGACGTGAGAGACATGCTACCGATTTAGATGCGAATCGAGAGAGAACTTACTTTCGATGTTTAGAAAAGTGGATTTCAGATCACTTGTATTTTACATCGAATTGACGATGATTGGTGTTGCTACGATGGTCAAAGAAATTTACCATGTATCAACGGATAATCGCTATTTACAATATGTACATGATTGCATATTTCCATATATCATCCGGTCCTCCGATCCTTTCTGACAAATCCTTTAACCAAGCTACCGAAAAAAAATCAACCGATACTATACTATATTTACAATTAAGCCGATCGATATGTTTCACCTGTGAGTGGTGGTGTAATACACTCGAAAGAAAGAAAAAAAGTAGATAGCCGATTTTTAGATCTTCAACTTTAGATAATAGGGCGTACAACTTGGACTGTTACTCAATTACATCGGTATAACAATTTCTTCGCAGAGAATACTTATTTGTTGCGGATTTCCTTTAAACACTGTCGCACGAATATGATGGAGGTTTAGGCGTAAAGGTCTTTTAATAAACGTCAAGAGTGGTGTAGATCCATATGATTTGGATCAACCTTATGCGATGCCCTAAAGAGAATAAAAATTATTACACTGTACTCTCATGATTCAAAAAAAATTTTCTTTTTCTTCTGATAGATTTTTTGGTATACCCCGATATTATATGCATGTTTATTCATAAATTTGGGAATTGTCGATTGGGTTTATCAAACGTGTGCGTACGTTAATTTTTCTCACGCATTGTATTTTAAGGCTCAGCCGAAATACAGTACTGTACTTGAATGCAACACGAAAAACTTGCGATCATCGTGACATGTGTGTATGTATGTACGTATTTTACTCATTTTCACAGGTTCAACAAGGGACTGTAACAATAAATCCTTGCAAAACTCATTGGTCTTTTTATGTAAGTAATTTTTTAATAGGAACACACGTAATTGTGTTTCACCTGGTTTTTTTATGCATTGCATATCATAAGTTTTTTCTTCGGGTCGTGACGTCAAATGAGAATATCGTGTGAAACAGTGTGTAAAATGAAACGACGCATAAATTTAGCAAGGTTCATTCGCAAATGAGGTTTTCCTTTTCCCATCGGTCATCTCCAAGCTGAAAATGTATCGCGTTTCTGAAAAACCTTAATTAATCTAAATACCATCCTAGGACGTAAATAAGTAAGAAACCCTTTTTTCCCGCTTTCTCGCGCAGATGAATCATTCTTGAATTGGAGAACAAGGACTCGGTGAGATATACTGTACCTGATCGATCGATCAATCAATCTAATGAGGACCACTAAGAAATGAATTCCAATGGTAAAAGCGTGATACAACTATATTCTCGTTTATCTAGAATTCTTATCACTTAAGGATACTTGTTTTACCACCACCGGATTCTCTTTTAATGGTTCGTTTTTCTTAAAAAATTGATACTGCTTTGATTAAAATTATCGGATGATTATTTTCTAATGATTCATTGTCGTATACAATTCGTACTATGTACAGCATTTAACAAACAAATACAATATACTACATGTTAGATGTGCGCATATACGTGTGTATCTTAAAACAATCGTACACACACCGTTATTAATTAGTTATTTATCCAAAAAATTATTATAAGCTGTGTTTTTAATAAAAATATTAGAAATAATTAAATAAATAATAATTTTATATGACTATCAAATCTCAATATATCTATATACTGTATAATATATATATATATATATATACTAGCTTGTTAGCCTGGGCTATGCTCCGGGATTAAAGATATTAAAGTATTTTATATATTAAAATGTAATAAATATAAATTTATCTTATTAAATTATAATAAATTGTATTAAATTGTATAAAGTTATATTAACTATATTAAATAATATAAAATTATATAATAATATATAAATAATAATTCATCTTTTAAGTTATATTTTAAAATTAAAGATATTATTGTATTTTATATAGTAAAATAAATAATAATTATTATTATAATAAAATACTATAAATATTATAATTGATAAAATTAAGTTAAATAAATTAAACTCTATATTTAAATTTAATTAATTTAAATAATTCTAAATTTTAAATTAAATAAATTATTGAACTCTATATTTTAATAAACTATATTTGAATTAAATTAAATTAAACTTTATCTTTAAATCCAATAAATTAATTAAACTAAATTAAACTTTATATTTTAATAAATTAATCTTAATTAAACTTTATATTTTAATTAAATTAATTAAACTCAATTAAACTTTTATTTTAATTGATTTATTAAAACATAATTTATAAAATAAAAAAATTCAAAAAAATCCTGGAAAAAAACAATCTGTAAAACTAAAAAAAAAACAGAAAAAATCAAAATCTGAAAGAAAAAAATAAAAACCTGAAATAAAAAAACCAAACCTGAAATAAAAAATAAAAATCTGAAATAAAAAATAAAAAATAAAAAACTAAATACAAAATAAAAAACAAAATCTGATATAAAAAAAATAATAATCTAAAATAAAAAAACTAAAAAAATCAAATCCAAAAAAAAAAATTCAAATGAAAAAATAAAAACCTAAAAGAAAAAACCAAATCTAAAAGAAAAAACCAAAATCTGAAATAAAAAAACTATATTCAAAAAAATAAAATCTTTTTAAAAAATCAAAAACTGGAAGAAAAAAAACAAACAAAACAAAAATTAAAATTAAAATTAGAAAAAAAATGAAAAAAATTTAAAAAATAATATCAAAATATAAAAAAAAAGAAAACAAAAACCTGTAAAATCTGGAAAAAAAAAAGAAATCTAAAAAAAAATACTAAAACTCAAATTAAATCTGAAAAATAAAAATAAAATTAAAATAAAATCCAAATCTGAAACTTAAAAAAAAACTTAAATTTAAATTTCCATATATATTATTTTTATTATTTACATATTATCAATTAATTTTATAAGGCTCCTAATAATATTATTTCAATATCATTTTGATACCAATTCAATACTTAAATTTACTATAAAATCATATAAGTAGATCACAACCCCTATATTAAATTTATTATAGATCAGTACTATTTCAATACTAATTTAATACCAGTTCAATACTTTTCAGAGCCCTATTATTTTAATATATCGAACTTTAATTTTTCAGATTTTTAAAGCTTTATAACCTTACAAAATTATGCATTATTATTATAATAATCCTATAGAGTCAATATATATTCATAATCAAGACTTATAAGTCTATAGTGTAGCAGTTAATACTCTACAGGTCAAATCACAAGATACCAGTTCAATCCTATATAAGGGTGGTTGAATAAAATTAATATAGTATCTGGTGCCATAACCTGTAAAAACACTATTTCTCATAAGAAACCATTTCATACGCTGATCCAGTAGACATTGTGATTATAATTTCCAGAAAAGGTATCATGGTGCGATGATAATCCGGTTGGTATTATAATAATTACCAGAAGTTGCAAGGTATATGAGATGTCTGTTTTTGACAAATAGATTTGGTAATCCTTTTCCTAATATCCAGCGTCTTTCACACAGATTCCTGTCCTAGTCTCATTTTAATCCAATAATAAACTGGTCTGGCAGTACTTATTCCAAGAAGGCTTCTGGCTATAAGTCTTATTCTCTGCAATGTATAAGTCAATATTCAAATGATAAGTATCAGTTATAAGTACTTTAAACATTCTTGGATATCATTGGACAGGTAAAAAATTAAATAGTTAGCTCAGCTACAGATAGTAATAAAGGGATTTATCTTCGATGGAGCAAGCAATGATTATGTAGCTTTATTCACCATAAATATTACCCTTAGTGTCTCTTTTAACTTCTTCTTAATTTCTCTTCAATTAGAAATAAAGCTATCTGACTACTAATGAAAATGCATGTTATTAATCCAACAAAGGAATACCTTTGTTCAGTAGATTAGCTTCTATACCTAATATAGTTAGAAACAAGCTACAGTAAACATTGTTATTTCAAGTAATCCCGATAAGTGTTGGATATAACTAACAACCAATATATTATAATATAGTCCTAGATAGTAATATCTAAAGATATATGTAAACATCATTATAAAAAATAAATATCCAGCCAGACAATTGTTTTTTTTTTTTTTTTTTTTGTAGGTAAACATAATTTCTTTATTTGGTTTGTATATATCAAGGTATATATTATAAAAGAAACAACATCTCTTATATGCAAGTACAATGAGTTAAATGCTAGCTTGCCTATAGTAACCATTTGACTAATATTGAAAAGAAAATTTAAAACAATATATCTTGTCAAAAGGTACCGAGCAGCTATGAATACCTACTTAGTATTAAGAGAAGAGATATCGGGTAATAAAGATATTAATTTCTGAATGCATTTAGAATAATTGTATTTACAATAAATAAACATATTAGCAACTATGTTAGGTAGGTCAATTATAATTTCTTTAGGAGAGGTAATGGTTGGTTGGGTTTTGGCTTAAGAATCATGATTGTTGGATAGTTTATAAGAGGGTAATGATGTGAAAAGTTTGTCGAAGTTCCATTTAATTCTTATAGATAGTGACATATTGGCTGTGGAGCAGTGTGGTTTCCAAATAAGGTTGTATAACTGGATTATGGCTTCATTAGCTGTTTCAATCCAGTTGGAGAAGTCTGTTAGGGAGAAGATTTTATCTGTAAAGCTATAAGATAATTCGGCTACTTGCCATATGTTTGAAATTGATATTTGATTATTGTTTGGATGAAGAATTTGGTTGATGTTTTTGACTATTTGGTCAGCTTCAATGGAGGTCTCAGGACATTTGAAGATGTGGTGGATGTCTTCAGTATGAAGTTCACATCTTGGGTATCAAGCATCTGGATACTGATCGGGATACAGCTGGTAAAGGGTTTTGTGAGTGGGCAGAGTGTCTGAGAGTAGTTTGATTCTAAATGTGATTATGTTGCTGTAGCTATTGTTATGCAATTTTTTGATGTTCTTGTTAGATTTGATGATAACTTTTAAACTGTGTGAAGTGTGCTCCCGTCCAAAAGTTTGAGTGACAGAAGAACTTTCGCATATCATATAGTCTCTGGTAATACTAAAAATTTTTTTGCATCACCTAACACTACTGCCGAGGCATGTGTTATTGATTAGTGGATTTTCTGAAAAGTGTGGTAGGGGATTGTTCCACTAAAAGGATCTGGTTGACAGTAGTTTGAATTTAGGCTTGCTGTATATTATCTGTATTGATTTTTGTTGTGTTTGGTGGATTATTCTTTGGATTAGTGCAGAGAAGTTGATCTTTACCATTCTTCTAGGGTATTTGGGAATTGGTTGGAGAATTTTTTTGTTGCTTCTGATTTCAATAAAGTTGCACTGCTGATTCCATTGAACAATATCAAATATTGCAAGTAGAATGTTGCCTAGTGATAAGCAGGGATTTAACAGTTCGACTCTGGTATTATTTATGATTAGATTATTTTTGTAAAGCTGTATATGAGTATGTTGCTATAAATTAAGTTCTTATGAAAGAGTTTGTAAAAGAGGAGTGGTAAGGATATTGACTTCTTGTAGGATGAGTTTATTGTTCTGTAGTGTGATAGAGAT